GGGAGGGCAACTCTTGCAGGCTTCCTAATGTGTTATGTGGGCTCCCCAAGACTCCCAAGTGGGAACAAATGGCTGACCCAGCCCTGATTGGCTACAGGGGACATCACAGCTGCCCACCTGGCCCTATGTCAGTGCTTCATCAAGGCCATGAACTATCAGCTGGCCATTCCACGCATACCCATCCAGTGAACCCTGCACTCATCAAGTGCGTGCGTTTATCCCAGGTGGTTGGGTTCTGTGTCTGTGTTCAACAAACCAGGGTTCTGTGTATGTGAGTATGTATGTGCGTACCATCCAGGGCATGACTGGGCCACCAACTTTCATGCAGCCAATGAGGACAATGACCACTTCTTACACAACTCCCGATTTCATAAGGTGATGGAAACTGGGTGCTATGCTCCCAGGGTCCCTAATTTCATCATTGGCAATGTCATTGCCACCTCAGTCCTTGTCAGGGGCCTGGTCTACTCCCTGTCCTGGCTCATGACATTGGACCACTGGAAGGACCACTTCAACTACGGACCAGACCTGGCATCATGAGCAAATGCAATGCAGGGAGGAGGGACAGGACAATGTGTGTGGCTCCTTCCCTGCACCATGGCATGCTGTCCACATTCATGAAGATCAGAATGACAGAACCCAGAAGGGGGGTTGAGGTCAGGAGGAACACCACAGGGTCAGAACTCAACAAACATGAAATCTTGGAGGGGAGACATGGGGTAGGAGACTTTTCACTCAGCACTCTACTTTCAGGGGTCCATAGTCAAGACCTTGTACCTCTCCATGTAGGAGATAGACTGTTATGTAATAGTAGTCCCAATGTCTATTGGAGGGCTGAGGGCCAGGAGGCATTGCCACAGTGGATGCTGAAGACTGGTGACCATCCCACATGGAATCCCTGGTCCCTTAGCTCCCAAGGTCATATCTCTCCTGTCAAGGACCACAGACTTCGCTGACACCTGAGGTTCATGTCAGGCAGCCAGCCTGAGCTAGGGGGCTGCCTATTCCTGCCAAGCCTGAGCCACTCCCCTGCAGCAAGACCCAGGCCAGGAGTGGGGCCATGGGGAGCAGAAGAGCTCCCACACCAGCCTCCTGGAAGAAGGGTGGACAAGCTGGGGCCACCAGGCACTGCACCAGAAGCTGCCGCAGTAATCATCTGGAGGGGTCTGCACCTACTGGGCAACCACCAGTAGCCC